ACCTCATCTCACAGAGTGGAAACAGAATCTAGCTGGCCCGTCCAAGGTCACACAGCATGGCCCGGCTTAGGTGAGAGGTAAGGCAGGCTCCTTCATCCATGCTCTTTCACACAGGCTTTACAATCCACAGCAGAACACCGGATGCATTCCCAGGAGCCTGGATTGTGTCCAACAGAAAATGCTGCTGCAGAGGCTTTGGGTCCACCAGGAGAGGGCTGGTTGAACAATGTTGCATTGACAGAATACTATGTAGCCGTTTTAAAGGCTCCACTAAAGGGGTCCTCAGAGGAAAAAAAGGGGGAAGAGGAGGTAGACAGGGCGGTGGGTGGGCCAACATCCCTAGGATGACCAGGCTTTGGATCAGAAAATCCATACAGAAAAATATTTCAAGAATAAAGACAAAACAGGGCCAGTGGTCCGCCAGGGAAACCAACACCAGCTGAGCCATCGCTGGACCTTCTCTGCTGTGATAAGTCCCCTCAGTGCCCAGAACAAGTGACCTATGGAGTAGCTCTCTGTGTGTAGGAATGGGTGAACAACGGAGTAAATGAGAGCATAAACAGATTTCTTTCTAGGGGGAAAAGGGGAAGGCAGGATCTGACTATGCAATGCTGGCTGGTCTGAACTCACAATGACCTCTGCCTCCCAAACTGCTGAGACTTAAAAGGCATGTGTCACGACACCTCGGCTCTAAGAGTGAACAAATTATTTCTGAATGATGAAACTCTATCTGGGAGCTGGGCATGGTGGCACACACCTTTAATCTCAGCACTCGGGAGGCAGAGGCAGGTTCTGTGTGAGTTTGAGGCCAGCCTGGTCTCCATAACCAATCCAGGCCAGTTGTGGTTACAGGAAGACCGTCTCAAAAAGACCAAAAAAACCCAAAAAAACAAAAAACAACAACAACAAAGAAACAACTCTGTCTGGGGGCTGGAGAGATGCTCAGATGTTAAGAGCACTGCTTGCAGAAGACCCGGGGTTCCATTCCCAGCACCCACATGGCAGCTAACCATCTGTAACTCCAGTTCCAGGGGATCCAATGCCCTCTTCTGACCTCTGTGGGCACTTCATGACATAGGTGCACTTACATACATGCAGGAAATGCACTCATATACATAAAATTTAGAATAAAAAGAAACACACAAAACAAAACAAAAATAACAAGGTAGAAGGCTGGAACATGGCTCAGTAGGTAAGAGTGAGTTTGATCCCTGGAACACACACAGGGAAAGGAGAGAACTGACTCCCATGAGCTGTCCTCTGACCTCCACATGTATACCTGGGGGTTCATCACACATAAATAATGAATATAAAATAACTAAGAAGGCAGAGTGATGAAGACACCTGACATTGACCTCTAGCCTCACACACACACACACACACACACACACACACACACACACACATCCGTGCACACATACAAAAAGAATCCTAACCACATGTGGAGGTGCACACCTTTAATCCCAGCACTCGGGAGGCAGAGGCTGGTGGGATCTCTGAGAGTTGGAGGCCAGCCTGGTCTACATAGTGAGTTTGAGGCCAGCTGGGGCTACAGTCTCAAAAGAATCCCAGAATCTCATGTTATCTATAAAATGCATAGCCAAAATGTGCAAAACAGCCTGTCACCCACATGAGACCTGTGAAGCCCTGTACAGCTGTCGGTGGATGGAGCATCCTGTCTGGTTGGCAAGAGGCCCCTAGACCTCTGTGGGCTGAACTTTGATGCCACTTGACTCCCACTTGACACCTCTCTGGGGTCCCCAAAGCCCTTAGCCCAGCTCAGCTCCCATCTTCTCACCCCCAACCATTCTGTTGCTCCAAACATGCACTCTACTTCTCCATCATCTGCACCCCACCCCCTGACTGCCAAATGCTAATCCTAGTGTCCAACACTTGAAAAATGCTTACTGTGTCCCACACTCTTGCTGACCCCTCTATGACAAAAGGGTCACCAGATGGGCAGCTCACCTGCTCCAGGTACCCACTCTGACCCCATGATTGTCGGCACAGCCCAATCCTCATGGATTAAGCAGCTACTGCAAGTGTACTCAGGCCAGAAGTTCAAAACACACATGGCTGAGAGCGGGCCTACTATGAGTTGAGCTGAGCACACACTGAGTTTCAGGATGGAAGTGTCACCCCAGAGCCACGGGAATGGAAATAATTTCATAAAATAATTATATAGTTGTTCTACGGGAATAAGTAATTCCCTAAGAAACAGTGGTAGAGTGGGGTGAGGCTCTGCACACCTCAGAGATGTCTAGAAAAGAAAGACAAGAAGCCTTTCTTAGGTCTGCCAGACAGGCAGGGACTTAGGGCTCTCCCTACATCACCAGTAAGCAAACACACCCTTCTAGTCTGCAAACCAGAAGGGATGAGACCCTAAACCACTTCCTCAGGGCCAAGAGCATGGGCCCAGGGCCCAGTCCCTGCTCTGTCACTTCCTAGCTGGGTGGTGACAGGTAAGTCACTTAATCTCTCTCTGGGCCTTGCTTTGCAATCCTTAGAGGCATGCTGACATGCAGCAGGTCAAGCCCAGAGCTAGGTAACCATTACCAATGCTGAGTATTGGGTCCCTGGCTCAGGAGGACCCAGCAGGGGAGGGACAGAGAGCAGATGTGGCAAAGAACCATATGTACGCTGTCCCAGATGGCTGGGGAGAGAAGGCAGACTGCAGCTGCAGCAGATGAGCCCAGATCCCACAGCCCATTCACAAGGACCCACAAGCAGCCTACAAAGCATTTTTAGCTCACCAGCCAGACGCTCGCAATCCCATCCTTGTAGAGGGTGAGACAAGACAGGGCTGAGCAGAAAGCCACAGCCCGCCAGAGGAAGGAAATGTCCCGCTAACAGCCACCAGGGCCAGGCCAGGCCAGAGGCCCAACAGCTGGGAGCACTGGTTAGGAATCCACCGGCAGGATGCTCAGGCTTCCTTGGTCACCTTCTCCAGCTCCGTGGAGAAAACAATAGTCAGGATGGCTATTGGGGGAGGGCTCTGGGTGACCCACAGGAGGAGAGCTGAATGCAATGGGGAGGGAAGTGGGCCTGCAGGGCCCAGCCTCAGAGTCTACAAGGCGAATCTGCTGATGTGTGCACCAACTCTGGGGAAAGTTGAGCCTGCACTTGTCCAGCTAGCGAAGGATTTGCCGCAGCAGCATGAAGAGAGCAGGCGAGACAGGGCTCCTGAGTCAGAGGCCTGAATGCTGACTCCACACCACAGCCCTGAGTTACTCTCTATGACTCTGATGTTCTAAGTGAATTATTTACAAAAGCAATGAATACATGGGTCTAGCAGTAATTCCCAGGAGAAATTTTAGCTGGCCAAACACTTCACACACACACACACACACACACACACTGATCTTAATATTACCCAGCACAAAGTAGATGCTTCATAAATATCCTTTTAGTTGAACTAAATGTAAAAGATAATTCAATTAAGAAAGCAGTTATAGCCGGGCATGCGCCTTTAGTCCCAGCACTTCAGGAGGCAGAGGCAGGTGGATCTCTGTAAATTTGAGGTCAGCCTAGTCTACTAGAGAGTTCCAGGCCACCAGTCACAACTACATACTGAGACTCTGTCTCAAAAAAAAAAAAAAGTCTGGGGATGTGGCTTAGTGGTAAAATGTTTGCCTAGCATCCTGGGCTCCATAAAAAGGATAAAAATGGTAAAAAGGAAGGAGGGAAGGGAGGAAAGAAGGGAAGGAAGGAGTTAAAAAGTCACATGACCTCTGTCTTGGCTTTGTCTTTATTTCAACAATGACCCTGTGGTCGGACAGGCACTGTTCTGAGCACTGTAACAATTAGCAGCCCCAAGTGATGACAGGTAACAGATGATGAGTAACTGTGGTTCCCAGAGTGACAGGTTCTCAGCCCTCCCAGCTGGGAAGCAGTCCCCTAGGGATTTGAACTCACAGCCATCTGGCTCAGAGTCCATGCCCTAACCTCAGGATTACCTGCCTTTGTCTGAAGTTGGTTGGAAAGCTTAAGACAACAGAGGGCACCAGTACACACAGTCTTCAGTCTCCAACGGCTTTAAAGGGTGTTGTTTCGGAAGGTGGGGGCGACAGGATGTATAGTACAGCCCAGACTGGCCTCTAACTCTCCACCCTCCTGCCTCTACTGGGTGCTGAGATGACCTGAGTGCATCATCACACCAGCTCCTTCAAAGGGTCTGATCAGAGTCGTCTGCCTCTATGAGGGTCAGTGGCCACCCGGGCCACCCGGGCCACGTGTTCTTGCTTCCGTGGTCCACAGGCCCCAGGAAGCTTCAAACACACACAAATCTTGAGTTTCTGATGTGATAATCTTTCAGTAAGTCACACACCTGAAGATCCCAATCACACCAAGACATGGGCTATTTCAGCTCCCAGAGCCATCGCCATGCCCCACCCCATCCAGAGACCATCCACCCCAACCTTGTCCGGTGTCCGCCTCCTTCTGAGAATCAGGTATAAATGTTATGCCCACACTTTTGTATCTGGCTCAGAATTCTTCAAACTGAAAAGCCTGTGCAGAACCACACAGGGACAATGAAGGAGGGAGAAAGGAGGGTGGGGCCCGTTGTTCCTCCGGTAAAAATCCCCCAGGGGGTAGTTTTTCTCTCACTGACCAATCAGGGAGGATGGTGGGCAAGGTTGGACCCCGGAGTCTGAACTACACAGCTGACCTGGAAACACAGTGAACCACAGGGGGTGGAAAGCCGGCTGCCAGCCAGGAGGACTCCCAGATGGTCACTGCTGCTGCCCTTGATGTCCATGGGGGCTTTTAATGAGACTTTACCCAGCTCAGGTCTGAGCCTGGCATGGCCTGTCACCCAGTCACTCGGAGGCTGAGGCAAGAGGATGGCGGGCACTGGAGGCCCTGTCTCCAAGAACCAAAGCCCAGATCTGGTGATCCGGTGCTGTTGCAATGCCCAGCAGCAGCACATGCGCCCAGGACGACCACCAGCCCCCTCCCCAGGGTGCCTACCCCCTCCCCAAAGGTCGCGATCGACCTACCTGTGCACTGCTGGATGAAGTGCTGATAGTCCGCTCCCTGCTCGCCGGGGACGATGGTGGCGCCGTCGTATTTAAAAGTCACCCTTTGGGTTGGAGGAAGAAAAAGACACACGTGAGGGCTGGTGGAGGGCGCAGCGCCCGCCGGACACTCCCGCAGGCCGGGAGGCCCGCGCCGTCCCGGGACGCGGGGAGCGCGCAGCCGGATGCCCCTCCGTCGGCCGCGGGTCCCCGGGGCGCCGACCCGCCTGCGCTGCTCACCAGATGACTGCCGAGCCGTCGTCGCGCACCAGGTTGTACGCCTCGCGGCACGCCTCCTTATCAATCTTCGTGGCCATGGCGGCGGCGAGGACTCTGCTCGCGGCCACCGAGCGCGCCCCGGGCGAGCTGCGAGGATCCGGCGGGCGCCGAGGGCGAGCGGGCTGCGGCGAAGGCGGCGCAGACGCGGAGAGACGCGAAGCCCAGAGCGGTGCCCGCGGCTACTGCGGAGCCCGAGCGCGCGCCTGGACCCCAGTCCGCGGCAGGCCACGCCCCTCCGCTGCCATTGGTCTCTCGAGACGAGTTTGTCACGCCCACCTTCGCCATTGGTCGCCAGACGCGGGGGTGGGGCGTCTCGCACCTCCAGCGACCAACCGCAGCCTGGGCGGGTTGCGCAACCCCGCGGAGGGCGGGAGGCGGGGCTCTTCGCGTCCTCCCTCTGCTCCCCGCCCGGCTGGCTCGCTCCTCTCTCCCTCCGGGTTTCCTGCGCCCCAGCCCCTCTCCTCCCCCCACCTTCTCTGTTCTCTAATCTCCCCTTCCTCCTTCCCTGTCTCCCGTCCTCCTGCCCTGTCCTTCCCTAACCCTTCCTCCTCTCCTCGGCCCCTATCCTTGTCTGCCCTCTTCCCCTCTCCTCTTTATGAAACCCCTTCTCCCTCCTCCCCAAGGCCATCTCCCTCTGCTCTTCCTCCTCCTTCCCTCCTTCCTTCTCCCCTCCTCCACCCTCTCTACCCTTCCTCCTCCCTTCCTTCTTCCGCCCTCCTCCACCCTTCCTCCTCCTCCCCTCCTTCCTTCCCCCTTCTCCACCCTCTCTACCGTTCCTCCTCCCCTCCATCCTCCTCGACCCTGTCCACTCTTTCTCCTCCTTTTTATTCCCTCTTCCCTCTTTCCACCCCCGTCTCCCGGCCAGTGGGCTGACTGCAGAGCTCCCCCGGGGGACCCCCGAGTGGCCGACTTAACTTAGCAAGTCAGATGAGCCAGGCTGGCCATCCCAGTGTGTGCTCTGGGGATTCTGGGTGGGAGGAATTGGAAGGCAGGAAGCATTTGAGTTGGAAGGGGGCTGACGTGTGATCCCTGTTGACTCTGAAGCCTGGCTGTCTGCACTCATGTGTTCCCTCAGGCTCTGGAGCAAGAGCTGACTCAGGAGGTCTTCCCTGGCTCTGTCAGGAGTCAGTCATTCATTCACTCCTCACCCAGCTATGGTGCAGGAGGGGAAAGGCAGACACTGACGGCTCAGTTCTTGAACTGCACCTAGCAGGTGGGTGTTGGCCCCAGGCCACAAGCAAACCTTCAAACCCCTCTGGAAGTACTGTCCCCTCTGATGTCTGATGTCAGAACAGCATAACCAGCCTCCCCAGGTGCCTTCAACTTTAATTGAAATGATGCATGTAAGCAAACACAGACATCAAAAGAGGTCATTGTTGGGGCTGGGGAGGCAGAGGCAAGCTGAGCTCTGAGTTTGAGGCTAGCCTGGTCTACCAGTCAGGGCTACATAGTGAGACCTTGTCTCAAACAACTAAAAAATACAAAGGAAAAGGGAGCTGGAGAGATGCTCAGGGTTAAGAGCATTTATTGGTCTTGCAGAGGACCTGGAGTTTGGTTCCCAGCACCCACACTGGGTGACTCCCAATTGCCTAGAACTCCAGCTCCAGGGGATCCAACGCCTTCTTCTGGACACACACACACACACACACACACACAGATAGGCACAAGATCTGACCAGAAAGGTCTGATGGCTCTGTGTGTGTGTGTGTGTGTGTGTGTGTGTGTGTTCATGCATGTATGTGGAGGCCAGAAAGCAACCTTAGGTGCCTTCCACTTTTGTCTGTTCATGCATGTATGTGGAGGCCAGAAAGCAACCTTAGGTGCCTTCCACTTGTGTTTTGTCAGGCGTCTCACTGGCCTGGAGCTAACCCCTTAGGATAGGCTGGCCGAAGAGCCCCAGAGGTCTGACTGGCTCTGTCACCCTGGCCTCCCCAGAGATAGGACTATAACCATGGTCTACCTGGGGCTTTAAAAATGTTGGTTCTGGAGAGATAGCTCAGTGGTTAAGAACACTGGTTGTTCTTGCAGAGGATCTGGGTTCAAATCCCAGCACCCACATGGTGGCTAACAACTGTCCATAACTCCAGTTCCAGGGGATCCGACAGCCTCTCTGTTCTCTGTTGGCACTACATGACACAGGTGCACTTACACACATGCAGGCCACACATTCATACACATCAAATAAAAATGTTGGTTCTGGGATTGACTTGAGGTCCTCATGCCTGCATGGCAAGTACTTTACTGACTGAACCATCTTCTGAGCATGCGCCTCCCCTTTCTTTGGTTTGTTTGTTCAAGACAGAGTCTCATGTAGCTCAGGCTGGTCTTCAACTCACTGTGTAACAGTGGATGACACTGTACTCCTGATCCTCCTACCTCTACCACATAAGTTAAGGATTACAGCTGTGTACCCCCAGGCCAGGCCTTCATATGGCTTCAACACATGCACAGATACCCAGCCTCACCCCTAACAAGACAAAGCAAACCAAGACCGAGAGACTTTAAGACTGAGATACTTTAAAAATAACTCTAGAGGCTGCAAAGATAGCTCAGTAGTTAAGAGCACTTGCTGTTCTTGCAGAGGACCCAAATTCTGTTCCCAGCACCACATGGCAGCTCATAGCCATCTGTAACTCCAGTTCCAGGGGGGTCTGACACCTTTTTCTGGTCTCCTCAGCCCTCAGGCACACACATGATACACACACATACATGCAAGTAAAACACTCATGCACATGAAATAAAAAGAAATCTTGGGATGGAGAGATGACTCAGCAGTTAAGAGCATTTGCTGCTCTTGCAGAGAACCCAGGTTCAGTTCCCAGCACCAACATGGTGGCTGACAAGCACCTGTAACTACAGTTCCAGAGGATCCAATGCCTTCTTCTGGCCTCCATAGGCACCACGTATGTGTTGCACATAATATTTGCTGACACAACGCTCATATACATAAAATAAAAATAAATAGAATACTTAAATATTTAAATAAAATAGTCAATAAATCTTTTTTTTAAAGAATAACTCTATCCAGAGGCTGAGGCCAGAAGATTGGGAGTTTGAGGTCAGCCTAAGCTACACAGAGTGAGCTCTTGTCTCTAAAAGAAATGTGGGGAGGGATGCTGGACATATAGCTCAGTTACTAAAGTGTTTGCCTAGCTTGCACAAAGCCCTGGGTTAAATTCCCAGCACTGTTACAAGATTCAGTAATGACACCTGTATCCCAGAAGTTGGGGGGTGGAGAAAGATCAGAAGTTCAATGTCATCTTCTGCTACGTAACATGTTTAAGACCATCCTGGGATCCAGAATACCCTGTCTCAGAAAGAAAGAAAAAAGATAGGAAAGAAAAAGGTTGCTGGACAAGGTGGTGACGTGTGCCTTTAATCCCAGCACGTAGGAGGCAGAGGCAGGCGGATCTCTCTGTGAGTTCAAGGCCAGCCTGGTCTACATAGTGAGTTCTAGGACAGCTGGGGCTACAGGGAGACCCTGTCTCAAAAAGACCAAAAAACAAAAAAGTATCTTTAATAACCCCCAACTCTGCTTCATTGTAGTCCTGAAATTCTTTTCAGTGTCAAAGCCACAAATCCTGATCTGGCCCAAGTCAAGTTCTCTAAAAGATTTGGGGGAACCCCTCAGGCTACTGAGAGAGGCAGCTGGGAGTTGTGTCTCTCCTGGCTGCTGACATTGTGTATATGCTGTAAAGTGTATCCAAGCTTGCTACTTTATTCCCAACAACTGAAGGGTGACCAGGAGGGGACCCAATGAACGACAGATGAGGAGTGTGTGGTAGGAAGAAACAGCAACTGTAACGGAAGAGGGGCTGGCGAGATGGGTCAGTGGGCAAAGTAGCCTGCCACCAAGCTTGGCAACCTGAGTTCGGTCCGTGGAACCCACATGACAGAAGGAACGAGCAGACTCCTGCAATGTGTCCTCTGACCTTCACACATGTACATCAAATGCATGTGCCCACACTTAAGTAGGTAAATAAATAAATAAATGTAATAAGTTTTTAAATTTTTATTTATTATTATTTTTTATGTGTATGTGTGTATTGCCTGCATGTAGGTAAGTACACCCGTGTCGTGCAATGCCTGCGGAGGTCAGAAGAGGCTGTCGGATCCCCTGGAACTGGGGACAGTTGTTAGCTGCCATGTGGGTGCTGGGATTTGAACCCAGGTCTTCTGCAAGAACAACCAGTGTTCTTAACTACTGAGCCATCTCTCCAGCCCCATAATAAAAAATTTTTAAGAGGCAAACATAGTGCCACACAGAGGCAGAGGCAGGCAATCTCTGACTTTGAGGCCAGCCTGGTCTACATAGCAAGTTCCAGGCTACATAGTGAGACCCTGTCTCAAAAACAAAACAAAACAAAAGAAAATTAAAGAAAGAAGGAAGGAGGGCCATACACTGATATGGAATGTTCTAAGGCTACCACGATACCAGCTACACAGTAGAGTGGTATGTTCTAAGGCTACCACGATACCAGCTACACAGTAGAGTGGTCGGAGCAACCCTATCCGGGGCAAAGGGGGAAGACTATAAAAAAATATTCCTCCCTGTTTATTTGTGCGTTAAAACCTCTGGAAAGGCACCCGTGAGAAAAATAAGAGCGGTAACTTGCTGAAAGTGAAGAGAGAGCCAGGGTGGAAGGATGGGAGAGAGACTTTATTATTTACTTTTGGTTTGTGTTTGTTTTCCGGTCATGTGAATGTATTGTTGATCCACATGAAATTACCACCAAAGAGCTGGGCTTGGAGGCAGGCAGATCTCTGTGAGTTCAAGGCCAGCCTGAACTACCCAGCAAGTTCCAGGTCAGAAAGGGCTACACAGTGAGACCCTGTCCCCAAAACAAAAACAGATGGGCATGGTGGCCCTCGCCTTTGATCTCAGCGCTCAGGAGGCAGAGGCAAGTGGACTCTGTCAGATTGAGGCCAGCCTGATCAAATTCCAGGCCAGCTGGGCTACAAGGAGACCCAGTCAAAAAAAAAAAAAAAAAAAAAAAAAAGCCCAAACCAAAGCAAAATGTGACCCTATTTCCAAAATAAAAACCAAAAAGGAAGGCAGGAAGAAAGGAAGGAAGGAAATTTTCCACCCCAAAATTTCCCCCACTGTGACCTCAACCTGCATCTCCTTGGAGCGGTGCTGTCAATCTCCTGGGATGGGGAAACTGAATTCCAGCCCTGGACTCTGCT